GATTTCCCAAAATTTCTCAATTTTAAATACTAAGCTTTTATTCATAATTAAACACCGCTAACTTCTCTGACAAATTATTTAATGGGTTTTATGCAAAATGATAAATCGATGACTTTCTAAAAAGGTAGGGAACCCAAGTATTTGTCAGGAAAGCAATTTAATCAAGATATGTAAAGCATTGTAGACCACCCGTTTGTTGGCATTTTAACCGAGTCGATGAGTAAAGAACAGTGAAAAGAAGGTAAAATAATATAGTTCAGTCATTAAACTACATACGAATAGAAGCTGGTCTACTGTTTTGTCAAATGTTTCTTCCAATAATGAGATGGGACCTCTTTTGCAAGCCTAATCACAGCCTTATGCACTGGCTACTTTGACCAGGTAAAAGAGTGAAAGAGATTGTAGGGTAAGCGATAAACTGAATGAACAAAAATTGTGTTAGATATCTGCAAAACATCATGAAAAAACGGAATGTTCATTTTATCAGTGAAATGTTATGGTGATCCGACTATTTAAAGTGACTTCAAACAAGAGGCGATATAACACTACTTAGATTTCTCTGCTAAACATTTAAAATGAAATTAAAACTTGCGATTCATTCCATTTCAAACTCATACCTGTTGTAACCATCTGAATAGCCAGATGTTTTTCAGAATAACTTTCATTTCCAGTGGTTTTTTCTAAATTTGAATCATGTCATTTTGAAAGCTACAGTTGCTGCGTATCCTTATTGTTTTAACCACCTTGCTCAGAATTAGACAAGAATACGTCTTAAAGGTATAAAATAGTATGTTTACCTCTGTATGTTATAGTTGGTGAGTGGCTAGCAGTGAGATTCAGTATGCATGTTTCATCCTATTTTACAAAGGATTTCTGAATATTCTAATATGGTTTTGTTGGTCCCCTGGACTATCAAGCTGAGAATAACTAATATGCACCAATAATATTCGATTGCATACATTGCAAAATATTTCATGGTTTATTTCAGTTTATTTACTGAAATATGTCTGAATAAAAGTGGGGTATTATTCCTACCTTGTTACTTGTATTATCCCGACGTCGACCGGACTATACTGGTAGGTCTCTATTAGCATCTGAGCTCCTGCATGGATGCCTCGTTATTGCCTGTGTTTCAGTTTTACAATAATGATATGCTAGCTGAGACCAATCAATTTGGTTCACTCAACAACGGGCTAGCGCTAGCAACCACACTAAGACTTTCTCCATCATACAAAAAGTGGCTATCGCGACTCAAAAGTTCAGTGGATAGCACTCTGTCGTTTGAAGTGGTTAGTCCTGAGTTTGAGTCCAGGTGGAAAAACGTTGCTCACTGGAGGGAAGTACATCCAGTTAACGAGATCAAATTAGGACAAATCTGACATCTGTGATTCCACTGATAGTCACCAACAACAAAGCAATATCATGAATGTCCAACATTGTCGAGACATTCACAAAGTAGCCCGTCTTACAACATAGTTTGAGCAAATCTAGTCTGCACAACAACGGGGAAATTACAGGTATCAAACAAAAAGGAACAATCATGCTTTAATTCTTTAAAAAAGGTGAGCTGCAAATTTGACAAATAATTTAAAATGTTTCACGATGAAAAAAGCAGATATTTTTAAAATTTACTCCAAATCAAGTTTTATTGCTGCTTATCAATCAAACCAAGTCTGGTAGTGAAACGTTCACAAGAAAATACCAAAGCTTGAAGAACGCATTGTTGTTATTATAATTTGTCCCTTGGGTCCCTAGTGGAAAGTAGGGCTTCAGTAGCATGCCTCCATTCCACTCTGTTCTCTGCAACCTTTTGAAGCTGGTCCCACGACAGCCCACAAGCTCTCATTTCTTCCTCACACGATCTCCTCCATATCACCCTCAGACGACCATTTGGGTTCCTCTTGAGGGCCTGGTCTGAATCATGATGTCCTCGAATGGTCTTCTAAGTGCATGTCCAACCATCTCCACTCCCTTCTGTATATTTCTTGAGCGATAGGTTCTTGGTTGGTTGGTTGCCAGAGTTCCTTGTTGCTTATTCTTTCTGGCCATCTGATCTTCAGTAACTAGAGTAGGCAGTTGTTGATGAATATCTGCAGTTTGTTGGAAATGCCTTTCGTAACGCTTCAAGTTTCTGAACCATATAGAAGCAGTGACTTGATATTGGTGTTGAAAATCCTCATCTTGTTGTTTATGCTGAATGCTGAAGATCTCAAAACTAGTTTCAGGTTAATGAATGCCTGTCTTGCTGTCTTTCCTATCGTGGTTTTGACGCCCTCATCTGTGCCTGTGCCGTCTGTAGTTGAAACGACGCTGCCTGCGTATTTTGGTGGAAGTGACAACCTTTAGATTTCCCCCGTTGATGGTGATTGGTGCTTGTAGTTGATGCTGTTCTCGACTGGGTATCTTCATCACCTCTGTCTTCTCTACGTTCACTTGAAGTCCCGTCTTCGCTACCCTGCCTCTTCTATCAACTTGTTTGTTTTCGCCTGTAGATCTTCGAGTTTATGTGACACTAGACGTAAGTCATCGGCGAAATCCAAATATTCTAGGCTCTTTTTCCGGCCCAGTGTATCCCTCTATTCTCGCTCCTCACGGTTTACTGCATGATCCAGTCCAACACAATCAACAAGATCATGGGTGATGGTGACAGCCTTGTTTTACTCCTGTCTTCACTTAAAAGGCATCACTGGGCTTCCCATTTCGAATTACTTGGCATGTGGTGTCTTCATACAGTTGTTGAATGAGACTGATGAAGGTTTGTGTTGAAGCAGCTGCAAAATTACTTCTCGGTTGACGCTGTCGAAGGCCTTCTCAAAGTCGATGAAGTTGAGGTAGAGGTTTGACTGCTATTCTATACTCTGTTCTATGATGAGACGAAGCGTTGCAATTTGGTGTGTACATGATTTGTACTTCCTGAAATCTGCCTGTTCTGGTCATAGTTTTGAATCCAGCGTTTGCTTTAGTCTCTCCAGGATGATGCTGCATAATTTTTTGCTTGGAGTGGACAGGAGAGTGATTCCTCGCAATTTCTTGCAAAGACTTAGGTCGCCCTTCTTCATGAGTTTCACAAGTTATCCCTTTTTTTCAATCGCCAGGTACCTTCCTTTCCTTCCAGACCTTTTGCAGTAGTGGTGTGAGCATGTCTGCTGTTGCCCCTGCATCCGTTCTCAATGCTTCTGGCGGGATTCCATCTGGTCCTGTTGCTTTCCCACATTTCAGTAGCCTAATGGCGTTCGGAACTTTGACTTTCGTTGGAGTAGTTCTGTGGCTACAGGTGGTATTTCTTGACGAAGTGCAGGTAGTAGTCGATTCAAGAGCTTTTTGAATTGGTCAGTCCATAGTTTCATTTGTTTTCCTACTTTGGTAATTATACTTCCTTTATCATCGTTTACTAGTTTCATCTGTGTTGATCTCTTCCCGGATAGTAACCTGGTTATCTGATATAGTGCTTTCAAGTCTCTGTCTCTCCTACCTGCAGTCTGTTCTGCTTCATTCGCCAGTATGTCGCAGAATTGTATTTTGTCGTAGCGCGCACTCTTCACTTCTCGCACAGTGTTGCTTGTAATAGGTAATACTCAGTTACTCTTCTCGTTGTTCATCTTTACACTCGTTCATCTTCTGCTTTACCATCACCATCTTCCTCTCCCTGTATCAGCTTCTATGTGTCCCTTGAGATCCATTCCTTGTCCTGTTTCCTTTTTCTTCCTAATATGGTTACTCAGGTTTCTTTGCAGAACCCTTTCAAAGAGTTCCAGTTTTCTTTCAGGAATGATCCTTCAGAGATGTTGCTCAGTGTCTCCCATTTTGTTATGATGTCTGACGTGATGTCCTTTGTAGTTTCGTCATTCAGTTTCCGAGTGTTTAAGTTGAACTGTGGTCTATCACCAACTTCTGTGAAGGCTTTCAACTTGATTTGGAAGGTTCCTTGTACAAGATAGTGGGTGGTATGAACCTACACCCGCCCCCCTTCATGACCTTGTGTCCAGGAGGCTGCGTCTTCGCTTTTTTCACATCGAGATGAAGTCGATCTGATTTTCGGTGTAGTGTGTCCATCTAATGAAATCAATTTCATGTCGCTTTGTGGATATCACTGTGCCTGAATACAGTTCCCCTAATAACCAAGTTGTTGAATGCGTGGAAATCTGCAAACAGTTCTCCACTCTCATCCATTTCACTGAGTGCTTCTCTACTCATGAGGAGTTCTCTTCCTGTGTTTTCCGCTCCCAATTTGGCATTCATGTCTCCGATTGGAATTCTGATGTCGCCAACTGATGTGTTGATTGCAGTTGTTTGTATAATTCCTCCTTCTTCTCTCCATCTACATTATTTGTAGGTGCGTAGCAATGTGTGATTGTGACCTTCCTTCCTTTTGAGTTGAACCTTGCCGTCATGATCCTGGAGGAGTTTGGCCCCATCTGGGTGATCGGGGTATATTATTGGTTCTCCACTTGATAGTTTGGAGAGTCTACTTCCATTCCATCTGCTTTCGCAGGTTCCTAACACTTCAATACTATACCTTCTCATCCCCCTTGCAATCTGGGCTGCCTTGCTGGGTTCAAACATCGTGCGGACATTCCATATCCTCACGTTTACTTTCGCGTTCATCGAGGGAGAGAATACATATCGAGCAGTTGGCTTCCCGAAGGCTTTCACCAACCGGCGTCATTTTGTCTTCCCGATTCCAGCAAGGAATAATTTTGTTTTTACTTTTTATATTTTGTCTGTGCTTTGGAGTTTCTTTAGCGGTTGGATTTATTTCCCGGTGTAGGGTTGCCAGACCTATGCCCGACCTTTCCTCTTTACCTTGGCTTAGGACCGGCTAGTAATTAGTGAACTGGTTAATCAGGCGAGGTTTTGAAGAATATAAAGCACCATTTTCAAATCTATATATATTTTCATGGCAATATGAGGTGTTAGGTGATTGCAAGTTAGTTAATGTATGTTACTGAAATTATTCTTCTATGTATCAAGGAATAACTGTATTCATGTTATTCTTACAGATCCAGAGATGAATTCTTTTACTGATTCAGATTTTGAAATAGAAACCTCCAATAGTACAGTTGACAACGTTTCAACTTCCAAAGATACATCAAATGATTTTTCAATACCTGTAAACATATCATTAACAAGTTTACCTAAATCAGGAAACAACACCAATTTTGATTATAGAATGGACTTCAAATTTATTAAGTACTTTGTTGGTGAAACAATTGGTATGCGGTGTATTATACCTGAGGGACCATATGTGGTAAGTTATTTCATATTTTTGAGATGAAATATATTCAATGAATATTTGATATGAGTTTGTTGTACACCATATAGTCATCAAGATTGTAACAAATCGAATTTATTTGAAGAATGTATAAAGGGTTGTAAGCGGAATGTGTTACTTCATGCAGCTCTGAATAGTATTGTTTTTATTCGTCGATACCTGCATTTCTTCAGAAAGACTTATCATCTACTTTGTACGTAACTAAAAGCGGATGACGCGTGCAATTGATAGAATAGTCGATTTGCAAATGATTCACGGGTAGCAGCTATGTGTTTTTTCAACTTCCCACTTATGGTATCAATAGCGTTTCCGCTGAAAATCAGTTAGCCAAGATCACAAGGTGTAATCTCTGATACAAAATTATCAAAGAAAAACAAAATGTCAACGTGAACTAAAAAATTTGCAAATGATATGAAAATTCATCACCATATAAAAGTTATACCTGTCAATTCAAGTCAGCTAACGAGATCGAGGTTTTCTGAACAGTCCCCTGCAATAAGCTTAATTTGTCTGGGTGAACTACTGATGACCTCAACCCCGAGCAAGCAATGTAGTCGTCCTATGTTTAGTTAACTCCCATCTCCCTTTCAAAATCTATAGATTAGCCAGAGTGGTTTCTAAGTGCTCAAGTTGTTCACTGACATATTCCAAGTGGATTTGATTCGGCGTCAATCTAGCAAAAAAGCTGCATCCTTTTGGACGTATTTCGTATAATCTAGAATCTTCAGGAAACTTTCCTTATATTTTGTTCCATATTTCACCCACTGATTTTGGAAAATGCTCGGGAGTAAAATCCAGCATGCGCATCTTGTCTTGTTTGGGACTCGTCGTCTGGATACACCTACCAACTAATAAATGGGACTTGAACCCCAGGTTGATCGCTTCAAAAGTCAGAGCATTACCTACTAGACCACTCAGTTATGATAAAGCTACTCCGTGTTCTAAGGGCATGGTAAACTTAAGATATTATGGGTTATAATTCCTTGTCGTTAATAGGACCGAATTGATCGACCACTATTGGGCTGCGTGCTCCTCTACCGTTCCCTCAATAATATGGGGATTTTCAGTTTGATATTATCGATTACATACTGATAGCGGACGATCAATTAGGTCCTATCAACTATAGGAGATTACAAGACATAATACCTGAACTATAGTTGACTTATCCTATGATCATTTTCTAAGACAACAAGCTAGCCAGATTATTCTCGTATAAACTGAATTATCGGCAGGACATTATATGAAGTATTTGAAGTTAGGCTTTTTTACCAAGTTCACCTCAACACATGTGAAAATTATTTACAAAAGTTAGTTTAAAGTTTTTCAATCATTTGTAGCATGTAGAGATAATCAACATCAATTTCAAAACATAAAGAGTGTTGAAAGATTTATAGGGGAACAGATATGACAAAAGAATGAATTAACTGTCGGTAAAAGGAGTAAAGCAGCTGATAAAGACTTTAGCTCAAATAAGCACATTTTTGTGTAAACAAGGATTTCGTCACAGATTTCAGATTCAAAGCTTCATAATGAATAGTAGCTGGAGTATATCGATTATTACGTCACTGCCATGAGCAGAGATATATTTTATCGTTCTTACTGAAGCTATGCAATTAATGATTTAGTTCAAACTGCAGAAGGTTTAAACAGTGAGAAATAAAAGGTTATAAGTATTGGAATCAGTACACAGCATAGATTTTGTAGATATTAAAACAGCCAAATATTCCAAAAAACCAATGACAGACAGGATCGCTGGTGAAAGTCTACAGTAGATAGCTATTACATTAAGAAACAATATGTTGGTATCAAAGTGTTAGAAATGTAGTAAAACGGCTCTAAAAATTCACAATCAGGAGTCTGTTTAATATCATATTGAAAAATAGAAAAACTAGGAACAAAACCAGTCAGTCCACGATAAGTAGCAACCTTAAATCAATAAATCTTCACAAACCGTAAACTTTATAATACTGGTGCTTATTGGTGACTAGCTTAGAGAGGTGTCTCGTAAAAGTCTAATAAGAAGTCGTGACTGGTAAGGCAAACCTAATCGATGTGAGGACAAATCCTCAACAATAAAATGGAGTGGTGATCGTTTTATATCATGATTTGACAGAAGTTGGAAATTTGAACCAATGAATTCCGACCCAGTGGATCAATGGAAACATTCTGGCCACGAAACCTTAATGTCCTGAGTTCAACCCTTGACAAGGTCATGGGTAAGCACAGCTGAGAAGTCTCTTACTATAATGAAACAGTTGCCTAGTGCTACCAGGTTACTAGTCTTACTTCAACTGATGTCATTTCATGATGAATACCAACTTGAAATCAATAAATCTCCGCAAACCTGAAATTTAACGAAAACCGTAGATGACAATTCATTTTTGAATGAATGAATAGGATTTAACACGGTTAAGATGTGAATTTCAGCTCAAGGCAGAAAATGAAACCAGACTCTTGGATACTGGTCACAAACTGTTAGTCATATTTATATAAGATCCTTAGTTATTGAACATAAAATATGCATTCATCACTTCTAGCATAATTATTAAATCTCCCTTGATTGAAATAATCCTATCATAGCCCAAATTTTGAACCTCATAGCTCAGTTGGTAGAATACCAAGCCGGAAACCTGAAAGTTGCTGGTTCGAATCTGGTCATGGTCTAAATTTTCATTTCAACTTCATTCATCACTCAGTATGAAATAATTTAGTTCAGAATTGTATCGTGAAGCCTCTTTTCAAATCTTTCTAAATTATCACTCCTTTTAAACATAAGTCACGGTAATTCTATGTTCATAATTAGTTGTATTATATTTCAATAAACATTTTCAGCTGGAAAATAGTTGGTGACGTCATAGTCATTGTGTAACTGCATGTGTATGAGTAATGAAGATAACACTGTCAATAAGGTTGTCTCACCTAATTTTTTACTCACTTGTTGACTGCAAACTACCACTTAATTGCATACCACATGATATATCAAAGCTACTAGACTTCAGCAGAAAATTAATTTTTTCCTCAGAACATAATCTTTACCAAGCAAGTTGATCAAATTTTTCCCGGTGACTGCATAGACTTATTGCCACATAGAAAACAGTGTGTTTATCTAGTCCTAAGTGTCGACTAAAGTGTTTCGGTTTGGTATTCAATACAGCTATTTAAGTAGAAGAAGCGATTCAATCAGTAGGAAAGTTCATCAAATGAAATTAAAAGCCAGACGAAAACTGGTATCGGTAACAGATATGCAAATGGTGAACATAAATAGGTAGTGTATTTTCTGATTCGTAGACCATGATCTACTCCAGGAAAGAATCAAGTTTTGAGAGACAATAAATAACATTTAATCTTCATTAAAGTAATGTAAGAAAACATTATGATCATCGTAATGGTGATATTAAGAAGCAAATTAATAAGCAGGTGAGCTAGAATGTGTCACTTTCTTTTATGTTGGGTGTTAATCACCGGTTAAAACTTAAGTACTTCAGAGTAAGACCGGTCATTAATTTACCCTTATCACTGTAACCCTTTTTTATTCCTAACAAACCTATTCTCCACATAACCTTTCACTTTACCAACTGAAATTAGGGTACCTTATTTTCAAGTTTGTATTCAACATGGGCAAACATCACTTGAAGGATCATTGAAAACCTGGGAGTACTGGCCAGCTGTTTCATCCCAGTAAGCGGCTCTCTAGCTGTGACCACCCTGTCTAGCTAGATACTGAACCCGGTAGCTTCAGGTTTCACAAGAAGCACTTTAAAATTTAGCTACATTTTTGATGCTCAATCGCCTGATTTTTCGTACGTCTATCGATTTGTGATAAATTTCGACCATCATTCAATGCTTGCAGTGATTATCTGTCCCGACGTCCCACATAGTTTGCTTCACATTTCGTAATCCATTACAACTTTGAGAAATCGTATCTGGAGACAAGTCACTAATGTTCTCTTGACAGTAATTCTCGGCTAATGTGAACACTTGTTCGCTGTTTTTACGAAACATACTTCTTGGTGTTTAGAGTAAATTTACTTCTTTGTGCTGTCTAATCTTACTATTATATTGTTTGTCTCTTGGATTCCTAGTGGAACATAGGGCTTAAGTTGCACATCTCCAATTCACTCTTTTCTCTGTAGTCTTTTCAATCTGACTCCATCAACGCTCAGAAGATTTCATTCCTTCCTCACATATTCTCCTCAATGTCACCCTCACCTCAGACGCCTAACTCGCTGTTTCCCCTTTGGATTCCACTCAAGGGTCTGGCCTGACAAGTGATGTCCGCAAATGGCCTTCTCAGTGTATGCCCAATCCACCTCCACTTTCTTCTGCATATCTGTTGGACGACGGGTTCTTGGTCTGTTCGTTTCTAGGGCTTAAGTTGCACATCTCCAATTCACTCTTTTCTCTGTAGTCTTTTCAATCTGACTCCATCAACGCTCAGAAGATTTCATTCCTTCCTCACATATTCTCCTCAATGTCACCCTCACCTCAGACGCCTAACTCGCTGTTTCCCCTTTGGATTCCACTCAAGGGTCTGGCCTGACAAGTGATGTCCGCAAATGGCCTTCTCAGTGTATGCCCAATCCACCTCCACTTTCTTCTGCATATCTGTTGGACGACGGGTTCTTGGTCTGTTCGTTTCTAGAGTTCCTTGTTGCTTATTATTTCTGGCCATCTGGTTGCAATCTCTGGTATCAAGTGAGCGTAGGCGGCAGCTGTTTAAGAGATGTATGTCTGTAGTTTTTTGGAAATGCTTTTCGTAACGCGCCAAGTTTCTGAACCATCACATAGAAGCACTGACTTCATATTAGTGTTCGAAATTCGGATCTTGTTCTTGATGCTGAGTTCAGTACAGTGCAGTACATCTCTTCACACCGATTTCAGGTTCATGCATGAAGGCCTGCCTTGCCGTCTTTCCTATCGTGATTGGCGTTGACGTCCTCATCTATGTCCGTGCCGCCTGTTGTTGAGACGGTGAT